TCGTATAAAGGTAAATTTAGCAATTTTACTGCTAAAAATCATACTCCACTTGAAACAGCATGATAAACTATTTTTTTATATTTTTATGGCATCACAGAGCAGAAAAATGGAGATACTGACTGCGAAAAAAATCAAGAAAAACAAACATCATTTAGTTCATAGTCATAGCTGCACAATAATTATGCATGTTGTACGTAATTTTGATAATAATTGATTTACTAATAACAAGAGTAAATAATCTATTATTTATTTAAATCTATTGTTGCTAATAATAAAAGTTAAAATTAGCAAATCAGGCGGGGCCAGTTATAAATAATTAAATGGCAGGATTGGTCGAGGAATTGGCAGAGACTACAGAAGATTCAAGCTCCTTTTCTGGTGGATACAGTTACTGTTTCATTGATGGAGATCCTCCCAACAAGTACATCTGCCACATCTGTACTCTACCGGCGAGAGATCCTCATCAGGTCACGTGTTGTTACAATATCTACTGTAGTGTTTGTCTACAGGCACTCAAAGTGAAGGGGCAAAATGGCTTTATATGTCCCACGTGTCGTCAGCCATTGGAAGGTAATTACTTTAAAGATGGTAGGGCCGATCGGGAAATAAGATGTCTTGAAGTCTATTGTAATAATCGTATGGGGAAGGGTTGTCCTTGGGTGGGTACAGTGACCAATATAGAATCCCATCTTAATGTGTGTCCTTTTGATTTTGTAAAGTGCACTAATGGATGTGGGGCAGAAATGAAAAGATCAAAACTAAAGACACATTTGGCAGACCGTTGTTCCAAAAGAATCATAGAATGTCAGTACTGTCAGAGTAGTGGCATGTACATGGTTATATCCAGTAGTCACCATTTGGATACATGCACTTATTATCCAGTTAAATGTACCAATAAGGATTGCTCACTCAAACTGCCGCGATTTGAAATGCTCTTGCATACTGAAGCTTGTGCTAAAACTATTGTTTCATGTGAATACAGTAGCATTGGATGTGATAAGAAAATCACGCGGGAGAATTTAGAAAAACACAATGAAGAATCGATGAAAGATCATCTCCTAATGGCTGTTAGAGAAGTGGGGTTACTCAGAGCTGATGTCAAGATGCTTAAAGAAAAGGCAAAGAGTGTGGATGATAGTGTTAAATCTTCAAAGACAAACGTTAATAAATCAGTTCAAAGTTTGACATCTAAGGTTACCACCGTTCAGAATCAATCAAAGTCTTTACAAGCTCAAGTGACAAATTTACAAGCCAAAGCTAAGAAGGCTCAGGAAGAAACGGCTAATTTACAACTGGCCCAATCTCAACATGTCAAAGCCATTGAATCCCTCACTGCTAATGTAAGTGCCCAAGAAATCAAAAACAAAGTCCACAAGCATGTATTTAAACTAAGTGGCTTTACTGACAAGAGGGACTCAAAGAAGCCATGGTACAGTCCTACATTTTACACTTCCCCTGGTGGTTACATGATGGCATTACGTGTTGATGTTAGTGGGGATGCTAGTAATGAGAGTTCTATTGGTTGCTATTTATGTCTCATGGCAGGAGAGTATGATCATGCTTTGGAGTGGCCTTTCTCTGGAGTAGCTACTATAGAACTACTGAATCAGCTGGAGGACAAGAATCACAAAACCTATGAGTTAGTTTTTGACAATGCTTTACCAGAGTCTTGCAGGGAGAGGGTATATGGGAAGACAAGCACTTTAGGATGGGGTTTTCCTGAATTTATTGCTCACTCGGAGTTGGCTATTTCGTCTACCTCCTTTCAATATCTTTGCGATGACAAGCTTTACTTTAGAGTAACTGTGAATGTTACATCTAAGACCAAACCCTGGCTAGAAGAAACAGACAATTGACTGATAGAATGAAGAACAATAGAATTTTTCATATATTATACATTTCATGCAGAAAGTTATTTATCATTACTGTTTATTCATTTTGTTGCATTATGAGTGCACTTAAAATACCATCATTTCCTTTAAACTAGCAGCTTATCAGTGATAAGTTCTTTACATGTATGGCATATAAAGTTCATTAGACTTTTGTTCTTTGATTAGCTGAGCTATACTAAATGAAAGAAAGTCTATCATTTTCAACAGAATAAGTAAAAGTTACTCCCATGGGCTATAATAATAAATACACTTATTCAGGATTGTATAAAGGTAAATTTAGCAATTTTACTGCTATACTCCACTTGAAACAGTATAATAAACTATTTTATATTTTTATGGCTTCACAGAGCAGAAAAATGGAGATAGTGACTGTGAAAAAATTAAGAAAAACAAACATCATTCATTATTAATTTAGCTCAAAGCTGCACAATTGATTTTGATCTAACAATTAGCAATTTGGGCGGAGCCACTTATAAATAATTAAAAATTATTGATTTACTCTAAATTTATTCTATGATTAAAATTAATGGCAGGATTAGTCGAGGGATTGGCAGAGGCCACAGAAGATTCAAGCTCCTTTTCTGGTGGATACAGTTACTGTTTCGTTGATGGAGATCCTCCCAACAAGTATATCTGCCACATCTGTACTTTACCGGCGAGAGATCCTCATCAGGTCACGTGCTGTTACAACATCTACTGTAGTGTTTGCCTACAGACACTCAAACTTCTCAAAGTGAAGGGACAAAATGGCTTTATATGTCCCACGTGTCGTCAGCCACTGGAGGGTAATTACTTTAAAGATGGTAGGGTCGATCGGGAAATAAGATGTCTTGAAGTCTATTGTAATAATCGTATGGAGAAGGGTTGTCCTTGGGTGGGTACAGTGGCCAATATAGAATCCCATCTTACTGTGTGTCCTTTTGATGTTGTAAAGTGCAGTAATGGCTGCGGGGCAGAATTAAAAAGATCAAACCTAAAGACACATTTGACCAGCCGTTGTTCCCAAAGAATCGTCAAATGTCAGTACTGTCAGAGTAGTGGCATGCACATCATTGTCACCAGTAAGCACCATTTGGATACATGCACTCATTATCCAGTTAAATGTGCCAATAAGGATTGCTCACTCGAACTCCCACGAATTGAAATGCTCTCTCACATCAAAGCTTGTGCTAAAACTCTCGTTTCATGTGAATACAGTAGCATTGGATGTGATAAGAAAATCATGCGGGAGAATTTAGAAAAACACAATGAAGAATCAATGAAAGATCATCTCCTAATGGCTGTTAAAGAAGTGGGGTTACTCAGAGCTGATGTCAAGATGCTTAAAGAAAAGACTATACTTATAGATAGCTTTAGAGGAGCCTTTGCTTCAATGGCAAGCATTGAATCAGTTCATAATTTAGCAACGAGGGTTATTTCATTTCAGGGCCAATCAAAATCTATACAAGCCCAAGTGACAAATTTACAAGCCAAGGTTACAAGGGATCAGGAAGAGAGGACTATAATGCAGCGAACTGTTCAGTCAATACGTGGACAAACAGCTAATTTAAAATTGGTCCAAACTCAGCATTGCAAAGCCATTGAATCCCTCACTGCTAATGTAAGTGCCCAACAAATCAAAAACAAAGTCCACAAGCATGTATTTAAACTAAGTGGCTTTACTGACAAGAGAGACTCAAAGAAGGCATGGTACAGCCCTACATTTTACACTTCCCCTGGTGGTTACATGATGGCATTACGTGTTGATGTTAGTGGGGATGCTAGCAATGAGAGTTTTATTGGTTGCTATGTATGTCTCATGGCAGGAGAGTATGATCATGCTTTGGAGTGGCCCTTCTCTGGAGTAGCTACTATAGAACTACTGAATCAGCTGGAGGACAAGAATCACAAAACCTACGAGTTAGTTTTTGACAATGCCTTACCACAGCCTTGCAGGGAGAGGGTTTATGGGAAAACAAACACTTTAGGATGGGGTTTTTCTGAATTTATTGCTCACTCAGAATTGGCTATTTCGTCTACCTCCTTTCAGTATCTGTGCGATGACAAGCTTTACTTTAGAGTAACTGTGAATGTTACATCTAAGACCAAACCCTGGCTAGAAGAAACAGACAATTGACTGATAGAATGAAGAACAATGGTATAATTCATTTTTACATTTCATACAGAAAGTTATTTATCATTACTGTTTATTCGTTTTGTTGTATTATATGAGACTGAGTGCAGTTAGTTTTCTTTAAACTAATAGCTTATCATGGATCATTCAGTTATTTACAGAAGCTTCAATAAATTAAAAGTATTTTCAGTTGCACAAAATTGCATGAACAATAAAATCATTAATAACAATTAATCATCTTTTAAGTCAATCTCCTCCTCATCTCCACCAATAGATTTCCAAAATGACATCACAACCTGTAGACAAATATAAAACAAATCTCATACAAATTCATTCTATTTTACCTTTTCAGCATATGCTTTCCTTTCTTCATATGGCAATGATTCTGCATGTGCTATATAATGATAGAGAGTCAATAGTTCATGCATACACTATAATGACTATACCTCTCATGCTAGCAAAACGTTCAAATAACTCCTCAAAACTCTCGCCACCAGGATCAGGCTCTGCTGCATTCATAGAGGATAAGAAATCTGGTATTACTACTCCTTCTATAAAATAATACCATATTTCATTAATAATAATGATTGTCAATAATAAGTTTGTTACCAGGAAGTGGAGGCTCTGGCTCATTGGAATTGGTGGTAGGTGCTTCCTTGTGATCGCTTACTGCTGCAGCTACACAATTAAGGCATAAGCTTATTATTCATTATAATAATATCACATCCTTTACCTTTATTACTACTCCCTTTCAGAGTTATCTGTGGCCACATGTGTGCTTGCAATGCTTCAGATATTCTTGATATCCCTTCATTATCATCTTCCTCATCATCACTTTCAACAGCTAAAAATAACATTCACAGATAATATTATGAATAAAATGTATACAGTACTATACCTTTGTCAATGTGTCTCCATTTCACGAGCTCTATTCCATTATCAGTGCACCAGTGTAAAGTTTTCTTAATGGTCTCATTCTCATCACTAGAGTCATTAGTAACACCAACAAGTAGAGATACTTCTGGAGGAAAACTATTTGAGTCCTTTTGGTCAAGGTTAGACCACAGGTCCTTTACTCTCTCTAAGTGATCTAACTAGGAGACAGACAAGGAAACAAAATGGTATTTCACAGTGTATTAATTTTTAATTTTGCAAGCTCAATTTTAAATCAAATTATGTACTCTTGTTGCATACCCACTGACCTCTTCCAGTTCACATAAGATAACGACAGCTTCAAATGGTGTATCTGTTTCTTCACTAGGCTCTAGTGTGAGGTGTATGTTGATGGTTGCACTATAGTACTTATTGTCTATGTGCCATTCTACAGTTTTAGTGGGTAACCCTTTGGAATTTAATGTCAGAGCTTCTCCTGTCAATTCTAGTAATAATTATTAGAAGATTTATAATAATTAGAAAAATGCAAAAAATACCTTTTATTAATTTCAAGCAATTCTCTGTCTCTTTACAACAATTTATGAGACGGAGAATATTTTGAGAGCTTTCTCTTTCTTCAGGCTGAGCTGCCATGTTGTGTTGTTTTCTACATCAGCCACACCCACAAAAATGGGAGTGGTCAAAGAAAAATGGCGGGTTTCAAAGAATAGCAATTAGTGTACATACTTTGTACTGTCTAAAGACATCTCCAGGAGTATGGCAAGGGGAGAGAACTTTTATAAAGAAATAAATGGCCCATAATGTTAAGGAAGAATGCTAGACGGCCAGAGTTCTAAATTTACTTTGTCACGTGATTAGCTCGTTGTTATAGCAACCGAAACACGAGCAAGATGAGTGTGTGTGCTGGCGAGGAAAGAGAGAGAAGAGATCATATCACCAACTTACTAGCAAAAGTTAGCGATTTGATACTAGCTTAAATGTTTAATAGTGTGATTTTGACCAAAGACCACCTATGTCCTCATGCAAGAAATTCCTAAGAAAAGAATTCAGTCTCAATTTTATGTAGATATTAGAATAGTCTCATAATCCTTTGCTATTTTGAATTTTGGAATTTGTATGAATTTATGGTCTTTTGTTGAAAGCTTTTATATATCTTTTTTTCTCAGTTCTACTTGCATGTAAGTCTTACATGTTTTTATGTCTAAAGGTGCAAGATGACTTGAGGCTGTTAAGAGAAGATATACAAGATCACGTGACAAGAGGTGACCCTGTTGACGCAGAGGCCATACAAGTAGCGCTCAATCAGATAGAGAACAATATAACAGTATGTCACTGTACTGTGTACATATACATTTATATGTTGTACATGTACATGTACCTTATAACACGAAACAGCTGTAGTTTATCTGGTTTGTACTATAGTGTGTGGGTATATGAAAGGCACTATCACCTAACTAAAGTATTAACATTTAAATGACACTTTTAACTACCCCTCCACTATATAAACTCATGGAGGTGCCTATGATGCACCCACACTGTAGTACAAATTATATTGTTGTACATATATTATCATGGCTTGCTATTTTTTATAGGATAAAACTGAAGAGTTGGTTAGTAGACAATTTCAAGCTGTTTCTACACTTCCAGTTGGATTGCCTGATAGTAAACAGCTATCCAAACCTTTTCATCTTAGATCAAAGTTAGTAATGGGATCTTAATAATTATTGTGACTGAGTATATAAGCACATGTAATAGAGGAGATTTTTCATAGCCAAAATTTTTTTGATGAATGTACATACATGTACTATACTCTCTTCATTATACAGTGCATGTACAGTTAAGGCCTTTTCACACTGGCACAGTTTTCAAAGCGCTTTGATGCGCTTTGCTGTATCATTTTGTGTTCTTGTTGCCATTGGTTTACATTGATCGAAGTGCATCACTTCACATCAATCCACCTCTGGAGGGGAAGTGAGAGTGATGTGGATTGATGCGCATTAATTCAAAACCACTCTAGTGTGAACACAATTAATGTGCATTACTTGTGCCAGTGTGAAAAGGCCTTTAGTGTATAGGGGTAATCTCTTGTTCTAATATCCTCTAGGTCTCTTCCCCCTCCACACTTATCCCATTCATCCCCAGGACAAGAAGCACAGCTACTGTACATTAGTAAACTATTGAGTCAACCCACACATCCAGCTACCCGTCAGGTCCTCAGTGACGCATTTGGTATACCACTTACTGAGAAAGACTCCAAGAACCAGAGGATCAAGAAACAAGATATACAAAAGAGACTCATGCCTATAAAGACCGTCCCTCAGCGGACTGCACTTCCACTTATTAATAGAAGGGACCCTAGAGTTAGTGTTATGATGTATCTTATATATTAGTTCTTAATAATAGTACTTAAGTAGTGGGTTCACTTGTCTCTTTTTACTTTTATATGCATGTATAATAGGCAACTGGTACTTAAGTAGTGGGTTCACTTGTCTCTTTATACTTTTATATGCATTTATAATAGGCAACTCATCCTGCTAGTATTGTTATGTATCTTTTATATTAGTTCTTAATAGTACTTAAGTAGTGGGTTCACTAGTCCCTCATATACATAGGCTACTCAACCTGTCATCTCATCTAGAGATGCTCAGCATGGAATACTGAATCTATTAGAGAGAGGTCTTATACCAGTAAGCTGTATTATATTTTCTAAATGTATTATCATTTTTTTGATCTGCTCTCTCTCTCTCTCTTTCTCCCTTTCTCTCCCTCTTCTTTCTTAATTAGAGAGCAGCTGATATTATACTGTATCCTTCCCCAGTAAAGCCAAAGGCTATTACAGTAAGATATGACACACTCATGTTTTACAATACATGACGATGATCTTTCTTTTATAATTATTTTCTAGCTACAAAAATTTTCTAAGCATGACCTCAAAGCACCACCAATTGATAATTTTGAAAGTAAAACATTGTATAATATATTTATTTTATTATCATTATAACAATGGAATGTGTACATGTAGGTCGTGGTGTTTGGGCTGGAATTAAGGTACCCAATATCCTGCAGTATTGTTTTTTATGATAATGTATTTGTAGTTTGATTTTAGTGGATATTCTAAATACCCATTACCAGGAATACCAGGCACTGCTACCATTTCTAAGCAACCATTTAAATACAAAGTATGTTATTATTGTGTCTACATGTGCATGCTTTCTCCATAATGTACTGTACATGTCAAATTGAACTTTTGATGCCAACGTATTGGGTCAAATTCCTGTACTATACAGTGCAGGTTTCTTGGCCAAGTTTTGCCAAAAATGGCTAGGAGAGAATATACATTATTCTTATGTTGTGTAGAAATTTTGAGCCGATTTCAATCAAATTTGGATTTTTTACGAATATTTATTAAAGTTGCTCAAAAACTGGGTCAACAACCCTGTACTATTTGTAATGCTGTAGCATTATTATTTAGTAGGATTCACCCCAAAACAATATGGCTGCCATGACTTTTGCAGCCTTGCTAAACCGGGAAAACGAGCTCCTGTGCTTACCAGACTTCTTAGAGGACCTTATCATGACCAGAAGACTCCATTGGTACCACTAGCATGGCTCTAAACCTTGTCTAAGCAGAAAGTCATTTTAGCCACCTTTTTTTCATTTTCATCATCATCATCATCTTCTGTCAGTCAATTAACAGTTCTGTACTTTCATGTGGAGCATCCAACCCATTGCTATCACACCTGAAATAACTACAAAAATGCAATAAACTATAATTACATGTACTAATTTACTAGAGATGGTTGTACATGTACATGTTCTTATGTTGTGTAGAAAGTTTAAGTGGGTTAGCATCAAAATCAGCTCAAATTTTGTACACTTTCAATGACAGCACATTGGAAATTATTTACCAAATCAGATTACAATAGACCACACTTGATGAACTTAGCATGCATGAATTAGCTACATGTAGTGGGGGACACTATTGGAATGTTGTTCAAGAGCAAGATAAAGAGATAAATGGGTAATGGAGGACGAGAATGACAACTTTACTCTAAGCAGTGACATCAATGGTCCCCTACTAGCAGCAGTTATCAGTATAGAGATGATAGGAGGACTCATTGCAAACTCATTTGTACTCATACTGACTACATGTCATATAAAGACTTGGAAACAACCCTCTACTATATTCCTTACTAACATGCTGATATCTAACCTCCTGATGGTCCTCTTTGTGATGCCTTTCTCAATAGTTACTTGTTCCAGTGGCCAGTGGTTACTAGGGGACACAGTATCTCAAAAGGAAGCATCATGCAAAGCTAATGCGTATATTAATATGTCTATATGCATCATAGTAACACTGAGCCTGGTACTACTCTCCTTTGATAGATACTTCTTCATTGTAAAATCCTTTGCTTATGAGCAACACATGACGCCCAATAAAGCAGTTATAATTATCATCGTATCTTGGATATTAGGACTAGGGCTCAGTAGCCCTCCACTCTATGGGCTGGGAATGACTGAGTTCTCAGATAGTTATGGTATTTGCATACCTGCCTTTGAAAATGAACCAGGCCTTGCTATATACTTTCTAGTTATGACATTCACTTTTATCAGTAGTATTGTAATAACGTCAACATGGACCTTCTGTTATGCAAGGGATTATCTCAAGAAAAGGAACACTAGGAGGAATCGCAGAGACAGTGTCTACCTAACACAAAGGAGGAAGCTCATTGGGCTGTTTGGGGCACTCATTATTGTTCATATCATTTGTTATTTTCTTTTCTTAGCAATTGCTCTCATTGCACCTTTCCTTCCCCTGCCCCAACAAACTTATGCAGCTACTTGTGTCCTAATCTTTCTCAGTACGATCCTCACTCCACTGGTTCAAGTCTACTTCAGGTGTGAAGTAAGGGATACAATATCCAGCTGGTGCGTTAGAATTGGATTGTTAAAAAGAAACGTAGAAAGAGATCAAGAGCTATGATACCCAATTCACTTTTGTGTTTGTGACACTAACACTACAATCACATCAACTTTTAAAAAAGTTTTTTGTCTTTATTTTATTTATTTTTTTATGTTCTTGTTAACAGAGACTTTTGTCCGATTTTAGAGCAACTTAAAAAAATCATTAAAAATTTAAACTTGATCGGAATCAGCTCAAACTTTCTATGCAACATAAGTACATGTATATGTACCAGAAAATGTAATAAAATTGAGGAATTTTCTACTTGTCAATTTTGGTGAAATTTGACCGAAATCCCAGTACTAAACATAAAAAAATTAAAAAAAAAAACAAGATTAAGTAGGATTCTAGAGCAAATTTGTAAAAAAAGTAACAGAAACAAGAGTATGCAAGTAGGATTTTGAATGACCAACGAACATATGAAATGAAAATCCTACTCTCATGATGCAAATTCTACTCTACATTGCATTTTTAATGTTATTATGTAAGAATTACAGATCACCTTGCAATGTAGAGTAGAATTTGTGTCATGAGAGTAGGATTTTAATTTTGTATTTTTGTTGGTCATTCGGAGTCCTACTTGCATGCTCTTGTTTCCGTTACTTTTTACAAATTTGCTCAACAATCCTTTGTTTTTTCTAATTTACATGGTCTGTGGCCAAAAATGATTAGGAGAGAATTCCTCAATTTTATTACACTTTCTGACGCATATACATGGTCTTATATTGTGTAGTAATTTTGAGTTGATTCTGATAAAAATTGGATTTTTAAATAAATTTTTAAAGTTGTTCTAAAATCCAGCAAAAGCAATTCTAGTATTATAATGTAACAGTACTGCACAATGTACAGTACAGTACATGTACTTTCAACTTTCAATATTCAATAATAATTATCTGTTTCTCTATAGCCTCCTCAAAATCACACACTAACAGTTCACACATTACCTCCTATACCAAGTGACCAAGAGCCCTATCAGACAGTGGTGAGCCCATACTCATGAGGTATTATTAAGTTATAATATTCCTTGCTAACATTAGGACAGTAGAGTAGATGTACCTGTACCTGAACATAGAGAAAAGGAGGTCTCATTTAAAAACGTCCAATCCAAGATCACTATTCGCGGTGGCAGTATTTTACAAGATAATGTAACTTAATCAAAATCTAGAGTTTTAGAGCTGGTTTCTTTTTTTTCAATAGGATTATGAAGCTGTCAAGACAGAAAATGCTTCAAAATGGGACATGTGAGCCTTACTTACCCTCTAAAGCAGGAATAATAATAATAATAATAATAATAATAATAATAATAATAATAATAACAACAATAATAACAATAATAGATGACAATGTTCTAGTTGACAATTAAATACCTGTCTTATTGTTGTAAATTAGTATCACTACATGTATGCTTCTGATTTCAGTACTAATGTCCATGCTTGCATTTTAGGATGCTTAGAATACTGGGCCTTGTTGAAGAAATGGCTCAAAACTATGCTATACCAGTCATATTTGTTGGAGCTCAAAAGTAATAAGGATAAGCTATAGTCATGTACATTTACATGTGCTTGTTTTTCAGGGCAATACACTTGGCTGAAGAATATGACTTGGAACCAGACCCTAAATACAGAGTCAGTAGTACAATCAGTAAAATTTTAAAAATAATACAATTGTATCTATCTTTTTTATAGGAGCTGATACCATGCGTTCTTAATGCTAGAGAAGTCAAACATTTACTCTCTACTCCTGTACGTTGTGAATTTTGAATTTTTAAATATTCTGTACACTTAGGGTCGTCGGTATAAAGGCCATAGAGGTATTCATGCAGCTGCTACTAGGATCCAAGCCACTTATCGCATGTATGTGCGAAGATGCCAGTATCTTCATTATAGGAAAATGAAATGGGCATCAGGTTAGTGGTATAATATCATGTAAATGTACAACCATCTCTAGTAAATTAGTACATGTAATTATAGTTTATTGCATTTTTGTAATTATTTCAGGTGTGATAGCAATGGGTTGGATGCTCCACATGAAAGTACAGAACTCGAAGAAATATTTAAAAAAGAAACAGGAACTTAGCGTCACAAATTATAGGAGCCGACTGAAAGAGCTCGGAGAAAACTGGGACACATTCCACAATCAGAAACGAGTTATTATACACATACCATCAAAAGGTACAATGTATGTGCATGTACATGTACACTACATGTGCTACATGAATCTGAATATTATTATTTTATTAACAAGTTCTACATGTACATGTACATTTAATATGATTTTTTTTCAATGATTTTACTAAAGGTATTATTGCTATTTTCCTACAGGGTATCCTATCAAAGTTCGAAAGGCCATGCAGAATTTTTTTCTAGCCCAAGCCTTTCAGCTACCTCGTATTTTTGATGTCTTTGATCCAAACGTTGAAGTGGTTTATGTATCACCTATTGAGATAGGGGAGGAAGTGAAGGAGTACAACAAGCAGTTACTGGATAATGCTAAAGGTGTGGCCAGGTCCAGCTCTGACATGTGGAATAGAATTCATTTCATTGTACCTGATAGTCTTGACTCTTTTGGCCTTCACAATCTCTCCCTCTCCACTTTCCTCAAGTACAGCCCAATGGCCCTCAAACGGATCAAGAACATTGTTGGTGGTCATCCTGCTGTTCTTGTACCACATGTTCCCCTCCTTGATGACTTGGCTCTGGCTGATCAGTTCAGTAAGTGAGAAGGCACAAAGCATTGGCTTGCATTTGACATAATAGTACATGTACATGTACAGCTTGTGTGTACAGTAACATGTAATTTATTGAGGCTAACTAAAACTACAACTAAAATTATCTAGCCTATTTGGTAGATCTTAAACTAGGATTATTTGAGTGAATATACTTGCTAGAACTAGAACTAAAGCTTTGGTACAAGAACTAAAGAACTAAATTATGAGCATTAATTAATGCACAAGAACTAAAACTACATGTAGATCTAAATGTACAAAAACAAAAGAGAATCTAAAATAGTTAGAACTTTAATGTAATTAGAATTGTTTTCTTTTTCCTAGATATCCCAGTCATAGGTACAGAGCCCAACCTAGTTCATCTCTATTCTACTTTCTCCGGTCGTAGAGCATTGTTCAAGGCAGCCTTTGTACCCACTCCCCCTCACCTCCAGGGAGTGTACAGTGCTGAACAACTGGTTGAAGGACTTACTAGTCTCATCATCAATTATCCTTATTTTAGAAGGTGGATTTTTAAATTGGATCATCACTGTCAAGGAAATGGAATCGGTGAGATTAAATCAGAAAATGTACAACATACTTGATAAATAAATATAATAATAACAATAATGACAAGGTACTGTATGTGTATTCTTAAGCTTTATACATAAGCCTATAGAAAAAATTTTATGATGCCTAATATACAATGTACAGTGTACTATTATTATTATTGATATCCTTTAGCTTATTGTGATATTGCGGATCATCTTGATTGTCACCAGTGGCTACTCAGCGAAAAGGCACGCTACGGGGACAAGTGGAAGAAGCAGTGGGCACAAGAGCGAGCAAGACGGAAAGTATTGTCACAGCTTCCAACAATACTAGCCAATAAGAGCTGCATAGCTGATGAAACCATTTATGATAACTGGTCTCATTTTGTGAAGGAGTTCCTAGCATCAGGTAATGGGAGAATAACATAATACATTACCTGTACATGTATAACTAAGATGTGTACATGTACATGTTTTATAATAATTTTTGTACTATATTTATTTTTATTACTTCTGATGCTACATACATGTATGTGCATGTACGTGTACATACATATATTTTTGTATTGTAAGCTGTATATTTATTTTTGCTTTTTCTGTAATTAGGTGGTACAATTGAAGGACATGCACCATCTGACAATGTTACCTCACTTACTGCTGAAATATACCTCAAACCCAATAAAACTCATACATTGCTCTCTACCTGGGATCACATTCTAAGCGAACCATTCAAAGTCTGGGGTGGATCAATGCCCCAGACTTCAGTCGATTATGATGATCTAAGCCTCATGGTTGATAGGATTGCTAAGGCTGCTTTCTCTAGAGGTCTAGTTGGTCATATTTCTGTGGATTTTGTCACATTTATCGATCCTGAAACAGTAAGCAAAATAACAGCGTTAATTAACTACTTTAACACTTTTAAAGTTTGTTTTAATAAAGTGCACAATTTCAAAGTCTCATTTTCCTTTGTAGATGTCACAGGTCACGTGGGCAGTTGATTTAGACTTTGGTCCCAGTGATATGATATACATGAGCAACCTGGCATCAGGGATGGCTGGCCTTAAGATGCCCGAATGGTCAACTGGTGAAAGCGTTGAGTCTACTCCTCAGTATTACATGGTTGCCAGTACTAGACTCAAACATGTCAATCTCTCTGTTGTCCAGTACAGCGTGTTCTTTCAGATGTGCAAAGCACATTTGATTGGTTTCAATAACAAGGTAAGGAATGAGAATGTATGCATGTACATGTACATACAATTTATACTGAGTTACTAGTATTACATATAATGCTCATTCATTCATTTATTTATTCATTCACCACATGATGCAGACTTTGACAGGTACCCTGTTTACTTTGATTGAAAGTAAAAGGAAGCACAACTTAGGCATGATGTAAGTTCATATCTTTACTTCATATACATGTACATGTACACATCTACTACATGTACATGTATGAATATCAATAATAGTAATAATAATATTATTATTATACTATTATTATTATACTATTATTAGTTGCTTACAAAAGAGTCTAAAGGAGTCCTTAGTTTCTGCCTCTCGTGCTCTTTCAGTGGTGCATCAGGAAATATCCACTGCTACTGATTCATCTGATACATCAAATTTTTCTGTAAGTACATGTACATGTACACCGCCTTACTTACATGTATTCTTTTGTTGACATAGATGGTATGCAAAGCTATTGAGGGCCTGGTTGAACAATTGTAAATACAATTATTAATATCATAATATTATTTTTTTGTTATCATTAAAATCATTAGAAGAGAAATAGAGTCCATTACATAGTCCAAAATAACATGTACATTGTACATTGATGTGCAATGCAATTTTGCATGCACAGAAAGTATAAGTTTTTGGGCCATCTTATCAAGAAGTGAGTCTAGTTGATGTGTTTATCTCACAAAGTCTTGACCATGGGTCAGACCTTTACATTAAACATCAATTGATTTTAATTAGCAGTTCTTTGCTTGCTTTTCACTTTTTTGCTAACCAAAGATTAATAATTATTTTTTAAATAAATTAATATACATTATGACCTTCAAAACTTAACGATTGATAATTATTACGTGAAACAAAATCAATGATAATTAATTGTTAGTTCTTGTTGGATTTAGTACTTGCGATGACCATAATAACGACCATTGTAGTGACCATTGTAAGCGTAGGGATCATAATGGTTCCCATACCTGTTCCTGTACCCATACCTGTTCCTGTACCCGTACCTGTTTCCATGCCTGTTCCCAAATTTACCATCAGAATCACTACGGCTAAAACTGCGTGACCCAGATGAGTCACTACGTGATCCAGATGAGTCACTGCGTGATCCAGATGAGTCACTACGCGATCCAGATGAGTCACTGCGTCCTTTGTTGCGAAAGGATCTGAACTTCTTGCGAAAGAAGCGGCTACGTTTAGCACGAGCAATTTCAGCAATATCACCATCAGAGTCATCATTGTATTCATGAACACTGCGGACATTAAGATCAGCATCATCATTAGCAGCAGTGTCCTTCTCTTCAGTAGCAGCTGAGACTAGTACAAAGGACACTGTTAGTGCCAAGAGAGCAGTAATAAGGAACCGAGACATCATTGGACTCTTGAATATACTGAATTAATGAAATGAAACTCTTGAACAAGATACTGGATTGACTGTTAGCTTCAGATTAAGGACTTTTATAGGAAAATTTGACTTTGAAAGGTTTATTGTTGGCTAAATGGAGTTTAGACCATTTTTATTAGATTTACTGAATTAGCGGCTTTGCAAGTCTACGTTAGAAATGACTGTTTTGACATGAGATTGTGATAAATTGATAACCAACAATGAATTATTGTTCAAAAATTACTCAGTAATTTTATTATAGAAGACTATATAGACTGCAGTGTCTCTATCTAAATTAGACTTAGACAAAATATTCTAAATTGTTGCAATACAATCCCGTGCTAATGCACTGTCTCTAATCATAATAGCAACTATGGACATGTTCCTGCCCCACACAGGTAGGTATGCATGTACTTCATGACCTGGCCATTTGCTGGCCATGATGAAATATAGACACTGCAGTCTATATTGTCTTCTATAATAAAATTACTGAGTCATTTTTGAACAATAATTCATTGTTGGTTATCAATTTATCACAATATGGCCAGGCCATTTATCAAAAATATTGATGTACTATTAAAAGTCAAGACAAGTATATCTATTCCAATAAACTAGTTGCCAAGAGCTCAGAAGATAATCATTGTGACCACTATGTCTTACATTTTAGAATTTGTTGTTGTTTGCATTTTATTGCTATTTTAAAATCATTTAAATTGAAGCAATTAAAAATAAAACATAAAAATGATATTTTTAACATTAAAAAAAGTAAAAACAATCCATAAAACAATAATGATAGTTACTGTATTTAAATAAAAATGATAATTATAATTATTAATTTAAACGATGGCTGGCTCAACATATGGTACGTACAAATTGCCATCGTCTGAAGTTCCTTGTCTAAAACTAAGTCTCCTGTACCTCTTACTAGAAGAAGAACAACAGCAGCAACAACAAACACAAACAATGCACAAGATGACACAAACAACAAACAAGAAGCAAGCAACAGAGATTATAATGATGTCGGTTTCGGAGAGACCACTATCGGGACACTTTCCATCATAGAAGACACAAGTGTTAGCTACTACACATGCTCCACTCTCACAGCTCCTGACACACTCGAGTGTACTGGAATTGCGATAATAACCATCGCCACACGAGTCGCAATACTTGCTCCCATTACCAAAACTACAGCCTGTGGAACTCGCACAGGCAGAGTCACAGCTACTAACAATGTCTTCTGGTTTTTCGTTAATGCCATAAAAGGTAAGGGACATGGATGTTATAACTGCACTCCCGGAATCGCTAGAAAAGGACATTGTGATAGTCCAATCACCGGACGGATCCTCGCCCCAAAAATGAACTGAAATGAACGGCCAGTCGTCGTAGCCATAGCAGTTTATGTAATCCTTTGATCTCTTCGGTAGAAGTGTTGAGCATGTGCCACTGGGAGAACAGAGTCTGATTGATGCGTCACCTCTCCTTGGGCCGGAATGGTCGATGACTGAATGATCATTCACTGAGCTTTGAAAATCATAGCATTCTCCTGACTACAAAATAAAATAAAACAATCACAGTAATGAATGATAAAAGAATGTCACAGCCATATCAAATGTAGGTGAAATTAACAATCCCAGTTAGAGTGACTCATAATTTTGATTACAACATCACTCTATCTCTTTAAAATTAAACTGCAGTACTTACAAGCCAAGATCATCCATTGCTTTTCTACATTTACTCAATGCATTACTTGGTACTTACTGTAGTAATGCTAAAGGTAGCAGTGAGAATAACATGCTCCAGGTATTTGATGTTCCCTGAAGGCATATTGTATGTGTATTTAAATGAATTGGATTTAGTCACTTGAAAAGCTTGAAGCCTACAAAATGATGAGAAAGATGCAAAGACTGTGAATAATTGTATTAATTTGTGAGAAATGAAAACTGAAATTTGACCTAAGATCATAATTTATTATGTTAATGATGCTTACCTGTTGATGTTTGGATTAACAGCAGTATAGTTTATCTCCTTAGTTACTGGACTCCAGTATCGTGCCCTGGTTACTAAAGCTTCAGCATCAATAGCACCAAATCCAAACTTGCTGCTCACTCTTAGACCAGCTCCGTTGGTAACAAAATTACCATCAACAAGAGGCGATGATTTTGAAGTATAAGCAATTAGATATTGAACATCACGCCATGAGAGATTAGGACTATAATACATTATAAAATATTAATTTTTAAGGACTTTAAAAATTTGCACAAAATTCAATTTTGATGAGAATAATTGGAAGAAACTTAAAGCCCATAATTTTTTTTCAATAAAATGGCTCCAAAATTACTCCCAATTTTTATTGCATTTTCTGATACATATTGATGTACTTATGCTATGTAGAAAGTTTGAGCTGATTCCGGCAAATATTTTTGAAGTTATGAGCAATTTTAAAAAATGGCCAATTTTTGAAAAATACCCAAGGCTATAGCCCATGGTTTTTTCTAAAAAATGGCTCCAAAATCACCCCAAATTTTTATTACATTTTCTAATACATATTGATGTATTTATGTTATGTAGAAAGTTTGAGCTGATTCCGGCAAATATTTTTGAAGTTATGAGCAATTTAAAAACGACCAATTTTTGAAAAATACCCAAGGCTATAGCCCATGGTTTTTTTCTAAAAAATGGCTCCAAAATCACCCCAAATTTTTATTACATTTTCTGATACATATTGATGTATTTATGCTATGTAGAAAGTTTGAGCTGATTCTGGCAAATATTTTTGAGTTATGAGCAATTTAAAAACGACCAATTTTTGAAAAATACCCAAGGCTATAGCCCATGGCTTTTTCTAAAAAATGGCTCTAAAATTACCCTAAATTTTTATTACATTTTAAAATACATATTGATGTACTTATGCTATGTAGAAAGTTTGAGCTGATTCCAGCAAATATTTTTGAAGTTATGAGCAAATTTAAAAAACGGCCAATTTTTGAAAAATACCCAAGGCTATATAGCCCATGGTTTTTTCTAAAAAATGGCTCCAAAATCACCCCAAATTTTTATTACATTTTCTGATACATATTGATAAACTTATACTATGTAGAAAGTTTGAGCTGATTCCGGCAAATATTTTTGAAGTTATGAGCAATTAAAAAAAAAACGGGCATTAAAAATTGCATAGTGGAGCTTACTTGACTTCAAGTGCCAAAAGTATAACTCCAGTCATCAATGGAGCAGAAGCACTAGTACCCGTAAAGCTTTTAACACAGCCACTGTTAGGATATGTAGTCACCTACGTAGCAGACAAAAAATAGATTATTCAATATAATCTAATCCCACGATACTATCAGCTACATAAACCTTCTCTTAAACTGACCACTTGATCGGATGTTACTGCACTATTATACGAATAAGTGACGGCCATTTTCCCTGAGCAGTCTTCATCATAAAAAGCCTGTCTTCCGGCTTGATCGGCTGAACCAACACCAATTGTATAGCGATTTGATGCATACCCATCAGCAGCACAAGAATCATCATATTGTCCACCATTACCGGATGAAAATACGTATATAGAGCCTAAGCCATTACGACCCTATAAATAAAACAATGCATCACTTAGAACAATGAATTGAAACACAAGTCTCCTGAGTGTCTGATTGTAGTAAAGGGGAGTTTTTGAGGCTGTTATGTTCAAAATGACAAAAACAAATAACAAGCAATTATGATCTAATGTTTGAAGGGTGTAATTGAATACTAACTGAGTATACGGCTCACATTAAGTCATTGAGAATCCTTATATTAGCAATACTGTGCAGTATAAGAAATATACTTACTGATTCAACTCCAAATTGTAATGCTTCCTGAGCTAATGTTTGTGGTCCTTGGACGGTAAACCCATTGTCTTCTGGTCCCCAGCTGTTACTGTACACTTGGATCTCATCATTGAAATGGTGAAATGCATCCACCTCTTCGCTTGGAAGTAATTCAGAAAAATCCACCTGGTACCCTGAACAATAATAATAAATAAATAATAATAATAATAATAATAATAATAATGGTAATATATACTACCATAAACTCTCCAGGCATAATTTTCACATTCTCCTTTTTCAACAGGGATCAGATTTTAGAAATTTTTAATCATTATAAATACTAAGGCCACTCCAAACAGATTCCTAGTTTCTCCTGTCACGGGCGGAGCTGACGTGGGCAGGTGGCTTTGTTAATATACATTACATTTTTTTGATTATTGCAATATAAATTGATGTTTATAGTGTATAAATAATCAAATAATTAACTGCCCATGTGGGGGCGTGTGCAGGCGGGGAAGGAGAAATAGGAATCTAATTGGAGCTAATTGGAGTGGCTAATTATATATCTAAGGATTTAATTGTTATTTTACTACCAAAGTGCATGCACCAAATAATTTTATCTGTTTCATACCAGCAATAGTGGCTCCGTAGGCTACTCCAGCCCCACATATTCCATTATCATGTATCATTGCTATTTCACCAGCACAGCTTGTCCCATGATTGTCTTCCTTCAAAGAACTTTGTGGATTAATATCAGTCGAATGTGTTAGCGTGCTATAGCAGAGACTGACATTCTAAAAATAATCATAACAATAATTATTTAATAATATTTATTTTTAAAAATTTTATTTCTCACAATATTACTATGAAGATCAGGATGGTCAAGTTGTATTCCTAAAAGGATTGTAAATAATATTTATTATTAAATTAATGTACTTTTAACGTACCGTTGTCAATTACTAGTGCAGTCGAGTTGTGTCCAGTTATTCCTTCAATCCATATTGGTACTACGTTTATATCATTGCCTTTAGTTGCTCCACTTTGTCCAGTATTGTACTGTTTGAATATAAATAAAATAAAGAAACTTTTTAATACTTTTGTTGCGACCAGAAGTGCAATGGTGACATGCAGCTTTAGTATTCTTACCCATGGCCACTGGTATTTCCATTGAGGGTCGTTTGGGAGGGAGAATAATGTTCTAGGTGAGTGTTTTTGAGTCTCTTCCTGTATAACATAGTTCACCTATGAAAGGAAAAGTAAACTGGCCAGTAAACCATACATAAAAACACTGATGCGTACTTCAGGATATTGGCTCAAGCTCTCTGTGATGTTGTTATAAGGTTTGTTGTCCTTTCCGTCTTTAAACTCATACTGGAACACATTGTGGAACCTTCCAACCTAGCGAAAATGAGAGGAGAGTGTAAAGGAGGTGAGAAGACTTTTACTACTAACAAGGCCGCGATTCACGAGCCCACATTCCTTTGCTATTTGGTCAGCTCTGTCGTTGCTCGTCAGCCTCAGGAGCCAGTAGCGAGTATGCCTTGCTGCCACCAGTTGAAAGAGAATGGAGAAGAGAAGAAGCAACTGTCTCATCTTTTTCCTGCTACGAGCTCCTCCCATAAAATGAGCCACGCCCAGACTACATTAAGACAACAGATGGTTGACAGATGATAATGTATGCACATGAATAAGTTTGAACAAACTGGAATTTTACCTATGAATGAAAATTTGTAAACGCTATTAGTGGACTACAAAATGTCATATTAGGCTCTATACAATTGCTTTTTAGTGACAACTTTACATCAGTTGCTCCACTTAATACTTGCAGGAGTAGTGTACGTGATGACTGCAAAAGGTTTCTTTATGCTCCTTTTATTGTTGAGCTGTCATCTAGTGAGCTCATCTAAAATCATTTCATCTGTTCTCTCAGATGAGGCTAATGGGTGGTTTATACCACTGGATGAAATCCAGCCTCCATCTTATCTAAACAGCTGGGCTGTCTTTCTAAGCAAAGATGCAGGAGAAGGAACAGCAGACAGCATTGCCCAGCAGTGTGGATTGATAAATCGTGGAAAGGTAAGTGAATATGCAAATGCATCAAGAGTAGTACATAATTTGCATGCAACTAATTGCAACTTTTACTAGACTAAATCTATGATTTCCTTGAATTGCTATAGGTTGGTAACTTGGAAAATGTATATCATTTTGCTGTAGAAGATAATGGAAATGACTTAAAATCAGATATGCTGGCTCAATTGTTACAAAATCATAGTCTTGTAAGCCTCAAAGCTCTGAACAAAGTGATTTATGTATTTTTTAATTATTGATCAAGGTTGATCGTGTTACACAACAACTAAAGAAAATCCACATCCAGAGATGGTTTAGCCTTCCCAGCGACCCTTTGTGGTCCAAGCAGTGGTCATTGGTAAAAACAACAATAATAACTTTATTATTTTTGAATTATGATGTGCACCTACTGTAGTATAATACTGGTAGCATTACAAACTCAGCAGTGAATAGAGATCTTAATGTTGTTCATGCATGGGTCCAAGGTGTCACAGGTGAAGGCATTAGAGTATCAGTTGTGGATGATGGTTAGTAAATACATACTGGCACTTATAATGAAGGTCATGTGATTTTGTAGGAGTGTGTCATGCACATCCAGATCTGAAGAACAATTATGTAATCCTAATAATAGATATTAAACAATAGTAACAACACAACATTATGATATTCATTTTAGGATAGCAGTGCTAGTTTTAATTTTGTTGAATTCACCAATGATCCCACCCCACCAAACCCTAAGAAGCAATCACATGGAACCAGTTGTGCTGGGATCATTGCAATGCAAAAAGACTCTGGGATTTGTGGTGTAGGCGTCGCTTACAAGGCTAGAATTGGAGGTATCATATTGACATCCATTATCACCGCAACTATTTATGCATAGGTATTCGAGTCAACTTGAGTTCTTCATCAGATATAATTGAGTCCAGTGCTCTTGGTCATCATAATAATTATGTTGACATTTACTCAAACAGTTGGGGACCCAGTGACAGTGGCTATGTTGTAGACGGGCCAGGAGAATTGTTAACAAAAACCCTTGAAAATGGAGTTTTGAAAGTACTAGAGGGTAAAATTGTACAAAATACATGTATTCTACTTAATATAGGGAAGAAATGGATTAGGTAATATATATGTATGGGCTTCTGGCAATGGTGGTAACAATGGAGACTCTTGTGCAGCTGATGGCTATGCTTCTAGCATATACACAATAGCTGTTGGATCTGCAAATGAGAAAGGATATCAAGCTCTATATGATGAAACCTGTGCAGGGAAACTGGCTGTAACTTACAGCTTTAACATGGCATCATACTCAGCCAGCTCTGACAATAATATGAAAGGACAAGTGGTGAGGATTGTCATTATGCAAAAAAATTAACCTGTAACCTTAATTGTTGGTAGCCCTCAACCGTTTCATACCAGCAGTGCACAGTGTCATTCATGGGTTCAAGTGCATCTGCTCCAATAACTGCAGGAGTCATAGCATTAGCATTAAGTGTGAAGTAAGGAATTTGTCATTGATTAATTTTGGTTTGTATTTATAACATAGTTCAAGCTTGACTTGGAGGGATATCCAGTATCTGATAGTGTACACAGCAGACCACACTAAATTAAAAGGAGCAAATTGGAGAAGGAATGGAGGAGGACTGAGAGTGAGCCATGAATTTGGATTTGGAGCAATCGATGCTGAAGCTATGGTAACACGCTCCAGGTACTGGGTCAATGTACCCGAGAGAGTCTCATGCTTCATTAGACCAAAATCAAGAACCGGGTAAGAGAATATACCCATACATATTTACATACTTTTATTGCTCTTATTTTAGAACTATTTATGATGATGAGCCAGTTACCACTACTTTTAAGGTTAACAGTAGGCGATGTTCAATCCAGTACATCGAACATGTTGTAGTGCATATGACACTTAGCGTGAACATTGATGACACGAGTGACTATCCGGGTTACTATGGAGAAGATTACGTCGATATAAATCCTTTTATTATTTTCTTTACTGGTCCCAGAAGAGGAGCAATAACAGTTGATCTGGGCTCTCCTTTTGGCACAACATCTCACCTCCTTCCGCAGCGTAAGTATGATTTTGTGAATGACGAGGGCTACAATCACTGGCCTTTCATGTCAGTACAGCATTGGGGAGAGAACCCAATGGGGTATTGGAACATCACCATTCGCTTTTATGCTTCTGGAGGCCATGTGACAATGTCAAACCTTTCCATGACTCTTTATGGAACTGAAAAAATACCAGAAGCTGTAAAGAACATACCTAATATTTGCGATCGGAGCTGTGCTAGTTATCACCGCTGTTCGAATGCTAATGGTTCCAAGTACTGCGATAAATGTCTAAGTCTGAGGATGGCAGACAGTCTTCAGTGTGTGACTAGCTGTCCAACCAAATACTGCAATGTTGCAGGATATTGTGAAGAATGCCCACCTAGCAATAATAATTATGCTGGTGTGGTTGCTGCAGCAGTACTGACACCAGTTGCTATTATAGGTATAGCCACTGGAAGTGTGATTGTTTCCATATTTGCATACTGGAAGTGGAAAAATAGAGAAGGATATACTAAATTCTAAATATACATTTCTCTTTTGTAGTTTTACTTATAAAGTATTATTATTATTATAAATGCTATTGCAACTTGCTGCAGTGTGATTGTACTATAAATAAAATCAAATCAAATTTTCATATAAAATGGGTGGACAACAAATTCAAAGAAAAAATCTAAAAATGAGCTAATGATTGATTAGTTTGTATATCTCCCTAGTCTAAACTACTAAGCTAGTCCCACTAAAATGTTAACAACACACACATTATGCCCCTTTACATATTAAAGGCAACTATTATCAAAATAAAAAGGAGGAAACTATTTCCAATGACTTTCCATCCTGAAGACTCAGAAGGCAAATAGCAGTAGCCACTTGCAATTTCATTAGGTGAGCGACACTCAGAAGGTTGGATACATTCCAGTGAGGTAGCATTACGCAGCAGAGTGCTTCTACAAGCATCACAATACTGAGGACCAGCAGCAGCACAACCTTTAGTACGAGCACAGTCTGAATGACACTGAGTAGGAATGCTTGAAACAGAAGAAGGGGTA